CTCGGAAAGAGTGTAGAAGTTCTCTAAAATACGGCAAGCAACATCCTAAAAGGACGTTTGCAAAAGTTATATTGTCGAAAAACTTTCTGAAATAGGAAAAAAGAAGTAGTGGAATTTCAAAATCTATGCATTTTTTCTATATAATTATGGTGTGCCTAGTTTGGCCAAAGTCAGGTCCGTTTGGTTGAAATGAATAATATTGCGTAGATTTACATACAGCTCCAAAAAGATCTTAAAGTGATCAAATAACATGGTAAAACGTGTTAAATATCCATATTAGGCCATGTTGTTTGATTATAGGGATGACATACGCACGCGCATGACTTTTAGTCACTTTCCAAAAAAAAATATTTTCGGCAATACTATAAATCGTACACTTAGCTAATTAGAAAATATTTCCGATAAATTACAATATTGAAATATTGGAAAATAATAGTAATGCCATAGAATGCCAATTTCAAAGGAAAAAGGAGAAAATGTGAAGAAATAAAAATTGAAGAGTCCATTTTTCGCCATACCATAATCTGTGTGCTTAACCATTTGTTCTACCTTCATGACCACATAGATTTAACCTTTTTTGCCAAACTTTTTAAATCGCACGCTCGCATGAGTGTAGGGTTTTCCAGATTATCCCATCCATATAATCAAATCAACATGACATTAACAAGTTGAACAGAATTGTGTCTGGGTAAAATGCTGGAAAGACTTTTTCACCCAGAGCGGATCAAATTTTGTAAGCGGTAGACCATATTTTACACTCTACGTTACGAGATAACTTGCATATAAACCAGGTGTTTCAGTTTGGTCACACAACTGTTTCATATCATCAATATTTCTGACAAGTCTTTACTTGCCCAAATACATGGTCATAGGAATGGTAATCACGATGCTGATGATGTACATGACAAGATTGAGCCTGTCCAGGACCTTAGCCAGCAGAGTGTAGTCAGACACATCCTCCTCGTTCTTCATGGCTTTGGTTAGCTCTCCCAGCTCCTTTGTTTGGTTGTTAGCCGCCTTGGTCATCTCCTTCACACACGAGATCAGCTCAGGTAGACCGGAAGAACCGGTGGTCTCCAGCCCTGTAGCTGTGGGAGGCGTTGATGGCTGCTCGGTGCTCCTGGAAGATAAAGGACGTTTTATTATAGATGAGAAACGCATAAAGCTTTACGACCTTCTTTCAGCTTGCTTAACGGAATCTGTTGCATTTATGATATAAAGAGAATAATTCACCTTTATTCTAAAAGGCAGTAACCCTTACTGTGTACAGATAAGTAACTATATTAGAGAATGTTTAGACCTTAGAACCTTACAAGAAAGAGCTATTAGTTGATTTAGCTGCAGAAGTACGAAGATCCATTCTTTTGTACCAACGTGCCTGTCTGTATGTCTAGTTATTAACCTTACGAGAGTGACAGTGCTTTTGTTGTGTCAATTAAGTTTTGACTTATAATCAACACCACACCTTTTTTCTTCGTCGACGGCCGCCATATCATCAGTTTGAAAGGCGTGGTTGGTTATCTCTATGTCAGACAGCTGAGGCAAACCAGCCTCTCCGTCACCTGTACGTTTCTCCTTTGTTAGATCTCCCAGCAGCAACATCCTAAATAACAGGCAAAAATTGAAATAACTAACATGATTTTCAATACTTTCGAAATGTATGCGTGATTGTTCATTGATGGTTATGTGTAGGGATAGATTCAGATTTAGATTTTATTACCAATGATATAGCAGGTACAATATATAATTAACACCTGAATCGCGTCATTGCTTACATATCCGCCTTTAAAATTCATAATACATGATAAAATACAATTCTAAAAGTCATATCAGGAAAAAGATATAAAGGGATATCAGGTTACCTATTTACAAAATGTTTCTGGTGAGAGCAGCAGACTTGTACATGTATGAGCGTGTGTTACAGGTCAACTCAAACAAACTCAGTGCTAGGATTACAAGTACGAGAAGTTTTAACAATGTGATGTCCACAGTGGCAAATGGAGTAAATTAGCCCCTAAATACAACTATAGAGAGCTACATGTAGTTGTCAATAGCATAGAGCTGTCTTAAGGATCTTTGAATGAAAGACATGGCACGTCTTTTACTTTTGCTGATCACTGTTCGGTGCCGACGTCCCCTACGAATACTGTAGTGACTGTCTGACGGGCTGGTTATAAATGCCCAGAGGGGAGAAATGTTATCCTGAAGGATGCTGTCAAGTGTTCTCAGGGTAGCTCTGTCCCGTCTACTTGCTAGCGTATTGAGCGAGTCAGCAGATAGCCCATATAAGATAAGATATGGTTCTTTTAGATATTTCGATACGATATACTGAGCAAACAAAAAGTAGGTACTTTGAAATGTAGCGGAGGAAAATTATCTTCGCCCGCGGAGACAGGCTGCCCTGCCGGTCGTGAATGAAGATGATGGCCAGAGTGAAGAAGAGGAATAATCCCATCAGCCCCATCCACAAGATGATCAGCGTAGCTGTAATATTAAAGATGGTAAACAGTTACCATAATGCTTAATAAGTTATATCAAAGTTGCCACTGTCTTGAACAAATGATTTTTAAAACAATACTGTGAGGGTATATCTAATCTTTACTCACCGAAAAGAGGCAATGCCCCCTTGACAGGAAGTACGTTTGTCACAAACACGAGAGACACGACCATGGAGAGTAGAATGGTCACTCCAAACGCGATCCGGTCGCCCCTGTCTAAGGGCATGATGAATGTGATGTTCATCAGTACCACCAGGATGATGCAGGGTCCTACAGTAGTGGCGATGTGGAACAGCGGGATCCTCGACAGATGAACAGCAAGGCAGGCTTCACTTGTAATGTTGTCTTTGGCAAAGATCATATCCTTTCGGTACCATTCACCCTCCGGTGTTGCAGTAGAGTAAGAGTTGCACGGAGTGATTCCTATGTCAACTGCAGGCAATTCCACTTGGCATTCTACGTTAAACATATTGTTTAAATAAATCAAATCCTAACTTAATGTTATTATGACAATATGTATCGGAAATGTAAAATAATAAGATTTTGTAAGATTTTGTTTTCTTATCTACGATGCCAAACTCGTAGTTATGAGTTCATCCTCCTTCTGCAAAACATTGTCAAACATAACATAACATCATTATCTTTGAAAAAGAAACGGACATAAAAAGTATGTTACAAATCATTGCAAAAGCTTTACCGAAGGTTTGTACGATTGCTGTGGTTGCAGAAAAGCAGATGTTGCATTCCATGTTGTCTGCCGGAAAGAAGAAGGGGTCTGCATCACACACGGTGGTGGTCAGGGTTTCTACACTCCATTCCACCAGACCATCGCTGCTCACTCGGACCGGCACATCCTTAGGTAGGCCTTTGTAGACCGGATCGGCACTGCGAAGTAATTGTATTAAACGTTGTCTTCTTGTGTTTTTGTAGAATAGCATAGACATAGTATACAGGTCGTACAGTTCTGAAATAACGCAAAGCCTATCCATTTTGTTGTTCAGATATAGTAAATCATATTAAATAAGGGAATTTTATGTATAGATTGGTAACTTTAAAAAGTGTCAATTAAAAAGTACGGCGTACTTTATTTTCAGAGTCAAAGTCGGTGTCCAAATGGCGTTGCCGCGAACGTTAAGCGTGGTGACGTCATCGTAGTACTTCGGATCCCAGCTCAGTCGGCTGTCCTGCCATGTCTAAGGAAAACAAACATTTTAATGCCTAAAATGACGAAAAAGAAAAGTAAAAGCTAAGTAGTATGTAGTCGACATTATCCACCCCATTATTTAGGCGGAGCAAAGGTGGAGCAGGTCAGAGGTCATTGTCATTATGCTAAGCGTATGCGGATTTATGTTAGGAATATACAAATGCATGCAGGAATGTAGCTAATGAGCTAATTAGCGACAGCAAATCTATCATATTGATATATCCATAACTATGAATAAATTAATTCATAACTATGAAGTATTAATGTACAATTATGAAATAATCCAACAAAAACACGAGTCGGACGCAAGCATGCATGAGTGCGATTTTTGTGGTAAAATGTTTGCACGACGGGACAACATGCTGCAACACCGATGCCTACACGACGTCCCAAAACCGGCACCGACGTTTTCGATCTCGTGCCTAACGTGCAACGAGGCGTTCGATACGGTGCAAGCCCTGCAAACCCACAGAGAAGCGTCCAACCCCTTACCGTCCACATCCCGCGAACAGAAGAGGAGTGCCCCGGGAGCCGGGACCGGTCCCTCCCCAAAGCGTTGCAACAACCAACCCGCACCCGGAGAGTTTCCCTATCTGGAAGACCCGGTCTCGGACGATCTGCTTTCCCAAGACGGCGACGCGGCCACCAAGCTTCTTTACAAACAGAAATGGTCCAGCATTCGAATACAGTTCAGAAGGGGGCACATCATACAGGACACCTACAACTTTCGGTTAGGTTCCGAAGACACTAACGACTTGGCCGACAACGTGTGGGCCATCTTCCGGGACCAGCAAACGGTCTTTAAAATAACGGGTTTTTTCCTGGGGTTGACGGAGAAACGGGGGCGCTGCGGTACTTTTATCCGTCGGACAACAACAATCGTTTCGTGGAAGAACCCGTCCTGGTGAAAAACCAAGGACGGTGTTCGCCTGTTCCTCGACAGGCTGAACGACGCGGACCTCATGGAGCGGGCACGTCAACAGCCATCGAACAGCGAGACCATCTTGCACAAATACCGACCGTCACGTTTTACATTTACAAGATCAAAGACCACCCCATCGGTGCCCCCGGAACCATGTCAGACTGCTTCGTAAAGAGCAAATCGATCAACGCTTTACTAGGCGATAAACACGGTCCGTTTACCGACAAACTCTGTTTTCTCCGGTGTCTAGCTCTCCACCGTAACTTTATACAGGTTTCTGACCGACACCCACAGAATCTACACCAATCTCAGTGAAGTACGTAACCTACATGCAAATTACATGCAAACCAATCGACTACTCCAGATCCACAAATCACATCACCTATGTTTCCGTTCACCCAACCATCTACCGCAAATGTTGACGCTAACCCCACCTCTCACCACACGACATATATACACGCAAACAGCAGATGGTTCTGCTGCCATGCTGAAAACCTTTTTGTCAAAGTAACAATGTCGGTAGGCGTGGCGTCATCTTTCATGGGGCGTTGCATGGGCAACAGGTTACCCAGGTAGCCGGGTTCAAAAGTGCACCGTAAATTTATCTGACCTCTTCCAATGACATCATCAAACCCTCATAATATATCATCTTAAAAATATACATAAATAAACTCATAGCTACACATACGTTTTTCATAATTATGAATAGATAACTCATAGTTATGAATATATCAGTATAATCGGTTGTATGTCACTAATTAGCTCATTAGCTACATTTCTGCATTATCCTTAACATAAATCTGCATACTCGATAACATAATGACGGTGACCCCTGACCTTTGACCGAGCCTGATCGCGAGCCTGAATAATA